AACTTTCGATTATGTCAAATAGAATTTCCGATGCTGGAGCTCCCAAAGGATCTACAAAACGAAAGTATGTTTCGATGTCCATCAAACAAAAAGTGGAATTGCTGCAAAAAATGGATAAAGACATGAATGTGGTGACAGAGAAGTTAGTGAAAATAAAAAAAAAATTCGATTGATGCGGTGTTCCACAAAAGTATAACAGTACTGCGAAACAAAAGTGTGTTGAGGACCACATATAAAATGTGATATTTATTAATTGCTACAGTTTCACTCATACTATTATGATGCATGATAAAAGTATGCTGTCATTTTAAAAAGATACTTATTAGAGAAAAAATGAGCATAAAAATTTTAATATGAACATCGTGTTTGACTTTTTTTAACACTTGTGAGCGTCTTGTTTGACAAATGTGATAATGATGCAAACAGTATTTACAAGATGTTTGCCTGAAATTTTGCTCATTTTAATTTTTAATTGCATCATATAATGAACTCAAATGCACCTAATTTCAGCTTTCAATAATTTTTTATTTATGTATTTGTTGGATGTTTGAAATAAGAAAATGAAAACCGGCTACGTTTTTTTAAACTTTGGTGTACTGGCAAAGAAATTAAAGTACTTAAAACTGGGTAAAAATAAAGGGGGCCTATATTTTGCAAAAAACTTATTGATTTTGAAAGCAATCAAACAAAAATCTCAGTTTGCCTGCAGCAAAGTAATTTAGTTTCTGATGGTGTTAATACCATTATGAAATGCTACGAGAGTCAGATATTTATCCACAAGAATCTGTTATTATACAAGCATCATAAATCCAATAAAACACCCAGATGTTTTAGTAGTAGCTATATAAATTTTATTCACAAGTTTGCAGATGATGATGAATGATGTGATACGAGAAAAAAATAGCATATATATAGAAAGGCAGTTGGTTGGCATGTTCAAAAATCTTAAGACTCTATTCTTCTGGTCTGATTACAAAATAACATATAATACTATTTATTTATTTATTTTTATGCTCTTATTCAAACACTGTTCCATAGTGAATTAAATTATTAATCTTATTGTAAAGTTACGATAATCCCAGTTTTTTCTGAATATTCTTTGAAGGGGATAATAGGTTAACTTTGGCTTAAAACTTAACTTTGGCTAACAAATTTGGCTAACTTCAGCTTCATTAGTGAACTTGACGAAGCAATTGTACCATGGAAAAATTAGAAATCAGCAGAATAATTAAAAAAAAGTTTACGCCTGTCTAAGTGCATAAAACTGTTGAATTTTCAAATTGTTCAACTCAAATTCGAACCCCGGATAGCTTTAGGTCTATTTAAGGTATAATGCAAGTACGAACCAGTGTGAATGAATCAGTTTTATTAAAAATAAATCTTATATTAGAGCATCTTTCTGAAGATTTTTTACCTACACTACATTTTCCATAATATACTAAACTAAAAAAATATCACTAATTATTCTTTTGCTTACTTATACGGAGAACATAACAAAGGCATTAACTTGCAGATTGCTCAAAATCGTTCAGACATAACATATTCACAGATATCGACAAGGACTTATTTCAGATTTCTTGAATTAATGTTGTGAACTATGCAAGTATGTTTACATCCACCGAAGTTGTTGATACTGGGCGAAGCTTCGTTGTGATGTCGGCTTATGCATAAAGTTAAGACAACGTGACCTCCCTGCACATTTGGGGATTTAGCGTCGACCGCTGTTGGACTCTTCTCAATGCACTTCTACTGATTTTTGTATTGCCATTCAGAGGCATAGAAAAGTGTTTATTCAAACCAAAACAACTATCTTAGTAGCTCTTCTTTATACTCACTTCTATTCGTATAACAATCATGTTTCATGTTTAAATGTCTAATGGAATTGATTCTCATGTCACACAAATGCAGCTGAAATTCATCGTAGATTTTGTTGAAGCTGTTAAACAAATAATAAAACTGATAGTGCTTCACACAAATGGTACCAAATGCTTCAAGAGAATAAAAGTATGTCCATAATAAGAAACATTATAGAAGGAAATCCTTGGCGATTATCCTTAAATTCTACAACAGTTTGACTGAATAGTCAAATGACAATGCATGCATGACAAAGGCATATAATAACCAGTGACATACTATGATAAATATTTTAATCAGGAAAATAACTGCACATTTACTTTTTTTCCCAAGCTCCTTGAAACTTTTTAAAAAACAGTTCTTATGTTTATATTTTATTTCTACCATTTTACACTTTTATTTTAATACAGATAAATCCCTTTAGTTTTTATCAAACATTTATACATGGCTCTTGCTATATATACATGGTTCTCAATCTTTATTGCTCCACTTTCCCTTCCCACCACTCAGATTGCAGTTCCCTTAAAAATGGATTATTATACACTTTTATAAATTTTAGTTCTCTTGATCTCTATACATGTTTCACTTAAAAAAAAAAAAAAAAAAAAAAAAAAGATCTTTTTAGAATATAAATATGCAGCTTATATTAAAAAAAAATATCTTTTTAGAATATAAATATGCAGCTTTATATTTATAAAGCTGTACAGAAATCTTTAAGCAGATGATATACATTTTAAATTTTACTGGAAAAGAAAATACAGTACAAAGTCCGTAATCCGGACATCTATCATCTGGAATGATCTAAAATCCGGACCTGAAAGCCACAAACTTTTTTTTTGTATGCTTTATGCATGCGCGTAATGCAATTACACATGTGAGTTTAATGTATAACAGACGTTATAAGCTAGGCTAAAATTATCTTTACTGATTCTAAGGCATTTCAGTTAATGTTGCAGATTGGGCTGTTCCTTAATCTTCTAATTGGATCTGGCTTATTATTTTTTGCAGACTGTTATAGCAATTTTATAAAAATTAAGCTTGAACTTTTGATTATGTCAAAAAGAATTTCCAATTCTGGAGCTGCCAAAGGATCTACAAAGTGAAAGCATGTTTCGATGCCCATCAAACAAAAAGTGGAATTGCTGCAAAAAGTGGATAAAGGCATATTCGTCTCAAAATTATGTGAGGAGTATGACACTGGAACCGTGAATTTTAAGGTTTTCAAACACTGCAAACTAAAGGTGAAATTTTCCAGTTATTAGATTTTGTAAAGAAATGTGGAGAAGCAGTAATAAATGAAGATGATAATAACAAGTTTTTCATTGCGATGGCAATGCCCCAATCATCAATCAATTAACGGACGGCAAAATCTGTAGTATGGTTCTAGATCCAGAAAATATGGCTTCCAATAGTGAAGAAAGTGACAGAGAGGTTATTGAAAATGAAAAAAATTCGATTGATGAATTAGTCGGCATTCTTGACACAGCAAGTACAGGACTTGAACAATGGAACTTTGTAACTGAACAAGAAATTATGTCTGTTAATAGAATTAAAGAGAAAGTATTAGCACAAAAACGAAGCAACTTAAACAACTTACATTGAGAGAAATGTTTAATAAAGTAAACAAATAAATATTAAGCTTTTTTTTTTTTTTTTTTTGTAAATTTTGATACCTTTTTAGATCATAATTGCTCTTTATTTCATAAATTATGGTTTCATATTTTTAATTGTATAATTTCTGCATGCCATCTTACCAAATTGAAATTGATGATCTAAAATCCGGATAAACCCTTAATCCAGAATCGCGGAAGTCTCGGCGAGTCCGGATTACAGACTTTGTACTGTATCTCTACAAAATATATCAAACACATAAATACTAAAATAAATAAAATACCGGGTTGCCATAATTAAACTGACAGTGCTCAAAGTGTTCTATAGCATGATCTATTTGCGAAAATGACCCCACATTTTGTAGGAAGATTAAACAAGACGGGGGACGAAGGATTCCGCGAAAAAACAAATTAGTTCCAAAAGTCACCGCTAGGGGAATATTTGGCTCCATGTAATAGAAAATAGAGTGCTAACAAATGCAAATTAATACGGAATAAAATTAACTTTTATTATGCACATTTTCTGATTTAGTTCAAATGCAATATGGCAACACTTTTAGAAAAGTGTAAAATCTACATAAACACCGATAAAGTCTCGTGATCTGCAATATCACGTACGCTGAGCAGAAGATGAAGTTCTTTATTCAAATTTCACGTTACATCCCATTCGTAGAGTGCCAGCTGCTTTAAAAGGCAACGTGTTACGTTTCGAATCAATAGGACTGAAAGTTTATGTGCAATGTCTCCTTCTTTAGTAAAGCGTGCGTTACTGATCAAATTCTATAAGAACATTACCCCGACAGAACCGGAAACCTGTTCTGTTACCGGAGAGAAATATCGCCACAGGTTGAACAGCTTTGTCATTCCGGCACTTCAGCAAAGACAATACCTGGGAGAAATCATTTTCATGCAAGATGGAGCACCTCCACACGTTGCTGTACGGGTGCAACAGATGCTACAACAGAAATTCACAAATGCAAGAGTTATTAGCCGCTACTTTCCAACTGCATGGCCACCTCGGTCGCCTGATCTTACTCCATGCGACTTCTGGCTATGGGGTTACCTTAAGTTCGAGATCTATCAAGGAGTGGTCCAGGACCTGGCTACATTGAAGGATAACATATCACGGACTGTACAGGAGATTCCTGCAGACATGTTACTTTCTGCTGTTGTGCATACTGTGCACAGAATGCAATATGTGGTCCACAACAACAGCAGCCACATTGAACCTCATTTGAATGCAAAATAAAAGGTAATTTCCGTATTGATTTGCATTTGTTAACACTCTATTTTCTATTACATGGCACCAAATATTCCCTAGCGGTGACTTTTGAAACTAATTTGTTTTTTCCCGGAATCCTTCGTCCCCCCGTCTTGTTTAATCTTCCTACAAAATGTGGCGTCATTCTCGCAAATAGATCGAGCAGCACTGTCAGTTTAATTATGGCCACCCAGTATATGAATGTATTAATGAAATGCACATAATATGAATATTTAAATAAAAAGATGGTGACTGGTAAGTAATATGCAACTCACTGTGAGGCTTTGTTGTAAAATAAATAATTGGAGTTTGAGCACCCACTAATGCAGAAGCTGTTGTATACGTCCTCATATAAGCAGCGTAAGTAGTAGCTGGTTGTAAATGAGGTATTATAGCTACCACATCATTTGCATCAGGATCATCATTAGCTTCAACATCATTAATTTTCCAACTTGACAAAAGAAAAAAAAAAGTTACTAACAAGTTTAAAATTCTGATGGCATTAGAAAACAAAAATTTAATACAATAAAAAACATTTGTCAGTTAAAAAAATTCAAAAATGAAAATCTTGATCATTTATTTTATAAAATAATATATATCAAATAAATAAGACATTTACTTCACTCAACTGTGCATGGAAAATTTAGTACACATACTGACTTTGTTGCTACTAACAAATGCATCTAAACATACAGCTTAATCTTTTCCAGCTTTCTTTCAAGTCAGCCTCAAAATAGTCTTATTTAACAATAACAACATATAAATCAATTTTAAGCAGAAAGATATTATACCATTGCTGATTGTTGGCTTCCCCTTTATCTTGTCAAGTTTTTATTACATTCCTTTCATTTAAGATATGATTCAGTAACAGACATTCACATCAACAAAAAAAAAAATTACATGATGTTATTAACCTAAGCTCTGAGGTGGCTGGAATAACTTGAATTCAGAATAATGACTGGGCACAGAGTTTAACACCCTCCTAAATATATATATGAAATAATAATAAAAACACAAGGAAAATCCGCAGCAGTTTCGATGCGTGCTTAGATCCATATTGAGGAAGAATTTTGATTGCGTAGTATGCCAATAATGTTAACTTGGCAATATATAAAGAACTTGGCAGTCGAGGCAGATTTACTTCCATTTTTATTTCCAATTGACATTTGTGGCCACAATCACTTGGCACTCTAGTTGTGCCTTTCCACAGAAGATTTACATTTTTGCTATTGTTGAGATAGAAAGCAAGCCAGCGAAATTACATCTTAGCAAAGTAAAGAGCAAAGCTGAAGTACGTATTGTAATGTTAATGGAACGTATTGTAATGTAATGTTAATTGAAATTTTTGTATTTGAAAAAGTTTTAAAAACCTTCCCTAAATAGATATGATTATGAAATTTATTTCCTTATTTTATATTCACAAAATTACATGGTCCATATTATTATTGTAGGGTGGTGCAAGAATTTAATATATCTTTAATTTTTGCATATTTGCATATTTTTTCCATTTCAATTTAACTAGTTTGGAAGATTTTTATTGCCCATAAACTTATAAACTCAAACTTATACAATAATTATACTATACTAGAGGCCAGTTACCTTTATTAAGGAAACGGAGGTTTCTATGTGTAATTGTATTTAAGCATCCCACAGCTATCAGCAAGTTGTCACTCTGATTTGCATAGTACAGGATTTGCCCATTTTTATCAAAGTTTATATTGTTATTGTACTGAATTTTTACTTACTATGTATTAAGTTCTAAATTCTATTTTGCATTGCTTTACAATTAAAAAAATGTGTATTATATCATAAATAATCAATTAAAATTTTATGTATCTGTAAAAAACATTTTGGTTTTATATTGGCAAGATCAATTTTTATGAAAGACTTTTAAGTTAACGACTGCAAAATATTGATTATGATTAATGTTTAAACAAAGCTTTTACAGAACTGTGAACTTTCTTGAAAAAATTGAGACAGAGAGATGAAGATTCCAAATGAAATACAAAATAAAAGAGGTTATAGTGAATTAAATTTAGAAGTTTGCTTTCATATTTTTTATCTTACAGATTCCAACCCCTTCAAAAAGAAAAAGGGGGAGTGATAGAGAAGCCTTTTTTGATTAGAGTAGCAAAAATATGAGAAACATAATTTTGAAACATACAAAATACACGAGGCATATTCGGAAACTAAGTACCATTTTGAAAAGAAAAAAAAAATAGTAAAACAATTTTTTCGAATCCAATTTTATTTTTACATGAAAATACATGTCTTAAACTATTTTTCAACATAGTTTCCGCCAATGATCAAACACTTGTCATAGCGGGTGACCAGTTTTTGTATACCATCGTCAAAGAAACTTCCCGCCAGTTTCGATAACCACGACTCCACAGCATTTTTCGTGTCATCGTCAGATCCAAAGCGCTTGCCACCAAGCTCGCGCTTCATGTGCAGGAACAAGTGATAGTCGGACGGCACCCAGTCCGGGCTGTACGGCAGGTGATCGAACTGCTCCCAATGAAACTGTCAAATTAACGATTGAGTGACACGAGCAGTATGGGGCCGAGCATTGTCATGGAGCAACAGAATTCCTTTACTGAGCATTCCTCCTCGTTTGTTTTGAATGGCACGCCTTAGTTTTGTTAATATAATAATATCGTGCCGCATTAATGGAAGAAATTCAGTAAGCAAAATGCCTTTCCTATCCCAGAGGACAGTGCACATGATTTTTTGTGATGGCATTGTCACTTTGAACTTTTGTTTTTTGGAGAATGAGTGTGTCTCCACTCCATCGATTGTTGTTTCGATTCTGGTGTGAAATGACACACCCAAGTTTCATCACCTGTCACAATTTGGTTTAAAAAGTTTTCTCCCTCATCACTGTACCGCGTGAGAAATGTCAGGGCACTACCAAGTCGCTTTGTTTTGTGAACATCAGTGAGCATTTTTGGAACCCATCGGGAACACAGTTTGCGATAATTCAAGCGGTCAGACACAATTTCGAACAAAACAGTACGTGAAATTTGTGGAAATGCCTCTGAAAGAGTTGTCATTGTGAAGCGTCTGTTCTCATGAATTGCTTCATCAACTTTCCTTACCAAATCATCGGTGACAACAGAAGGCCGACCACTCCGAGCCTCGGCGTGGACATTTGTTCGACCTGCATTAAACATTCTTACCCACTTTCTCACCATTCCATCACTTATCGCGTATTCACCGTAAACTTCTGTCACTTGACGATAAATTTCGGCCGGTTTAACATTCCTCGCGTTCAAAAATTTAATCACGGCACGAATCTCACAGTCAGCGGGAGAACTAATTGTCTTAAACATTTTGAATGTGCACAGCAAACTGAAAACACAACATAGAGCAACCAAAATGGCGACAATTGAAAGTCAGTGAACAAGAAAGACTAGTGCGCATGCGCGGGACGCCTACCACAGCGCTGCGACGGCGCTAGAATGAAACGGTACTTAGTTTCCGAATACGCTACGTAATATTACATTCAAATAAAATAAAGTGAAAGGAGTTAATTAATTTTAAAGCCTATGATTTTGAGTCCTCTGTAGAAAGTTTTTTTGTTGGGGGAATATTCACATTAAACAGGGAAGGTTCCAAAATTTTTACACACAATACCACAATTATAAAAATTTTATATACCTATTAGTTAATATGAATAATCATAAATCTTAAAATTTTACACCAAACTAATTTTTTCATTTATACTTAATACTCATCATTTGGAATAGCATTGTTGAAATTATGGTTTTTACTTTTACAACTTTTAATTACAATTTTGACATTTTACACAAACTAGAAGACCCCACAGCTTTCTCCTAGTACACACATCCAGCTATTTGGGCAAATCCACTTTAAACAGACTCAAGTATTAAATTTTTCATGAGTGGTTAGTGAACTGCATTACAACATTCCATTATATAAAAAAATAACAATTCCATATAATAGAGCCTTCAAAGTTTATATTACATGACGAGGGTAAAAGGAACAATTATGCAGAGCTAAAACAGGACTCTGTTTCTGAACCAGTATTCCCTCATACTTCATATTTAAGATACAATTATTGATAATTATAACATTCATTTACCATAATTCCAAACAAATTTTGACCCTAGTGTAGAATTGGGTGCCCCTTCAATTAGCAATAATTTTTTTTTTTTTTTTTTTTTTTAATTTAGGTGATGAAACTTCATTTCTGGTTACCATGATAGTTTTAACTTTGTTTTAGCTTCATGATTTCTTTTAAAATGAAAATAGATTGATGTGTACATGCACAAATTTAAGGCAGTGCACAATGCCTAGTTTGTGCAATTCTGGGATGTTTTTTTAAGTGAAAAAAGATCGATGTGTACATGGACACAGAGTTTGTGCAATGCTTTGACTTTTTATTTTGGTTTTGTGTAGTGGCCATCTTGAAATTGTGCCTTCCTGGCGCCGATCTTGGCATCAAAAAAGAATCGCCAAAAATAAGGGGCACCAATTGTAAACTTTTACCCAAATTTTAAAACAATTTACTCTTAATTTAATTCTGATATAAATTTTATTACTATTAATCAATTTCTTAAATCTTTAGTATTTGTATATTAATTTTAGCAATATGTAACATTCTCACATTTAATAATTATTTCATTTATACTTCATATAGACATCATTCTAAAAATAATTATAAAATTCTTAATATTCAAATTTTTAAACAATAATCTTAATTACAAATAATTTCAAAATTCTGATGTTGTTAACAAAATATTCCAAAATTCTTAACATTAATTCAAAATTGTTAACAAAACTTATAATTACTAATAACAATAAAATTTTAAAATCTTCCCTGAATAAAATTTTAGAATACTTACAACATTTTAATTTGATATTTTCGTAACACAGTGCCACATTTTTCCCCTTTATTTTTTAATTCATCGAATTAAAAACATTTTGTAAGAAAACACCACACTTTCAGGTTTTAAAAAATATAACCAATTATTGAGTAAGTTATTTATAATGAGGCAGTTGCAGAAAAACTCAAAAAAAAGTTTTTATCACATAACATCAAAACACATTTTCGGAATATCGTCACTTAATTTTCTGGATGGAAACAATTTTGAAGATAAATTTAGCGAAGAAATTAATCTCAATTCAATACCACTTTTGATGATACCATAAATCATTTCCATACTTGTTGACACTCTATATTTCAATGTTACAGCGACCTTGGCCTGATTAGGAATTCAGATGAATTTTTTCATTTGATCCATTCATTAAACGATGCGAGATTAGTTTACATAAATGTTCCATTGAGGTTAGTAGCACATAATCCAATCCTGTACGACTAATTGAAATAATAATAAAAGCACAAGAAAAAGCCGCAGCAGTTTCGATGCGTGCTTAGATCCATATTGAAGAAGAATTTTGATTGTGTCGTATGCCAATAATGTTAAC